CACACACACACACTCACTCACTCACTTACTCACTCACTCACTCACTCAAACACACACACACACACTCACTCACTCACTCACACACACAGGTCAAGAGGTCAGACTAAACCAAAAGACGGCCATCCAAACATCATAAACCAGTTTATGGTACAAACTGTTGTATGTAGCAGTGGTGATTGTTTGTGTTTGTGTGTGTGTGTGTGTGTGTAGGCGTGGCCGGGCAGGCTAGTGTGTCATTTTCTGAAGGAAAATGATAGCAACTGATGTTACCACTTCCTGCATCATCGTACCAATGTGTCAGCTGAAACAAACAGTTCTCTCTCTATATGGGTATTATTTTCTTCATGTCTGACACAGACAATAAAAAAGCATGATGAGGAATAAGAAGAAGGAAGAAGAGGAGGAGGAAGAAAACCACAACAACAGTCAATTAGAGGAAAGCAGTCTTCAGCCCACAGAACCATCTGTGGTGCACAAGAACTCAACACATATTTGACAGAATGCTGACAGCAGCACGCACGCACAGACACACGCACACACGCGTATACTGTGACATATTTATAAGGCACATGTACCCGCTGACACAAGCTTCTCTTCTTGTCTCTCCTCTACAATATTCAAGCATACAACAATACAACAATGCCTATATAATCATAATATCTGAACTATCATGTTTGATACATGTTTGTGTTTCCATGCAGCAGCCAGTAAGTCACTGCATCTATTCAGAGTCAGCTCTCACAGGCCGCTTCGGTTTACATTCCGACCCTTGTCACATTATGTGGGATTCAAGTCTGTTGTCTGAGTTTATGGCAGTAGAGACAACACTTTCTTTCCCCACATATATGCAAACACAACAGGGTCATTTCTCAAGACTGCAGCAGACCCAAGTGACAATGACAACACAAGACTTGTCTGGACTCTACAGAGACCGTTGTGAGTGTATTTCACAGGTCACATTAGAGGTTCGTGGGGAAAGAAAAAAGCTCTACAAATGGCAGCAAGCCAACCGCTTTGCAACTTTTGTTTTTAGTGGGAACTATGAAGGGAATATATGTCAGCATATTCATATACTGGAGGATTATTTTCAATTTATCATCATCATAAACTTGATCTAACAAGGTAACCTCCCAGAGAGCCTACGCATAACCACACAAACTGCAGGTAGTTTGATTCTTCTGCACATCTGCAGTTATTCTCGGCTATTGATAAAAATGAATCTTACAAAAAACTTTTTGTATCAGTTTCCATAGACTTAGATATGCCAATATCCATATGAATGTATCGTGTATGTGCTGTGAATCTGTATGTGTATTCTGTGTATGGGTGAATTTTCCAGTAAGCTCGCTTTCTTTGCCAACAGCTTAGCCTACCGGAAAATAATTCACAGCACATTAGTTTCAAGTGTCTTGTGCTGAACAGGTATGTAATACACGTTTTGACAAGCATTGAGAAAGGTTATTGGGATCATAGATGAAAGCAGGAATTGCAGGTTCTGATGCGTTGACAATTTGTCTTTTGTTGCCACAATGTTTTTTTTAACAAACTGCAATTTTAGTTAAAACCAATATTTTGACTAGCATTCCGTGTGCGTGAATATGTGTAGGGGGGGGGGTCTGTTCGTATAAATGATATGATGAAATGAATTAAACACTGATGTCAGCTCTCTTTAACTTTGGTCACACATTTGTTTTGATGGAGAACCTACGTAACAAAGGTTGAATGTGATGACGGGTGTTGTTTGGGAGCATCTGCTTTATGTTTCCTCGTCATTTGTTACTTTTTCTCACTACAAGGTGACAGATTTGTTTAACCTTAGTCCACTTGGACTTGAATGGCTATGATGGGGATGAATCCTGTCACAATGGTGTCACCAGACTTGACCAGTTGTCTACCCAATAGATCAGAGACCCTTGTACAGCTTCACCACAAAGCCGTGACGTCCTCAGACAGGAAGCAGCAGGGCAGAGTTGCAGTGCTTCATGGTTTCTTGGAACTTGGTCATGAATCAGCCCACAGATCTGCTCTGTGTTGCACTTCCCCTTTCAAAAACATGGAACTGAATATTAAAAGTCGCAGTCAATAATATAAATCCTTATAAATCAGGGACCTCCCATGGCACGCTAGTTTGTTTTCTTAGTACTTTATACTATCAATATCAAATGTCCATGTATCTCTGCCAGCTGTATCATGTGTACAACATTGTTATTCAACCTAGAAACATGCAGGACGCAACTGTGGGACAGAAATAACAAAGACATAGTTCACAAAAAGACGGAAGCTGTGATATACTGTAACTTTTACAGAAAATCATCACAATGTCTCAGTCACTTTGAGATCATTTGGTTTCAATAGACACTCTTTTAGACATTTCTCTGGATAAGTAATGTAATAAACTAAAAAAAAGGTTCTTAAACTCATTTGGGCCCCAAACTGAAAATTTCAGCCTTTTACTTCGGATCCCACAGTCATTAAATAAACGTGTTACTTCAGTTCTATGGAGATATACCAGAGAAGAGACTGTGGACCCATTTCACACCCAGCTTCTCTTTTCAAGTAAAAAACAAATATCGTTATTGTGACATAAGTGTGTATTACGTCATTGTTTTTATTTGTATTACATACAGTATCTGCTGTACATAAAACAGGATGACATTCTGATCCCTAAGAAACAGGAAGACAATACAGAGGCTCAACTGGATGAGGCATCATGCAGATTCATAAACCAAGATTGTTAAGTCCACTTAATATCCGTCACTGGAACGGTCGTTTCCGACGATTTGCAGAACAAGCATCTCAGTTTTAAGGCTCAACAACAACCTGTCTGTCGTACAAACTCAACTATCTGTACCTCTGGCTGCCTACTGTTATTATCAGGGTTACACCAGAAGTCATGACATTTGTTTTACCATCAGAGACATAAAGTAGTTGAATAAACTGAATAGTAATGTGCTAAAGTGCTTTACACAAAATAAAGCCACATTAAATGAAAACCAATATGATTAACAACAGAGAACAAAGAGTGAAAATGGAGCGCTCCCATACAGCGCTTTTCTTTGTCTTTTCGACCACTCAAAGCACTTTCACACTACTTGTCATCATTCACCCATTCACACACTGATTGGCCTATCAGACTATCTAACACTCATACATACTACGGGAGCAATTTTGGGGTTAAGTGCCTTGCTCAAGGACACACGGAGCACACAGTGGCCCACAGAAGATAGTGATGTAAAATAAAACATTAAATAAAACTCTGTTATGTACATATCCACCACAAGGATGTTGTGGTGACTGTCTTATCCCAAGCAGATACTTTTTTGTTTCTTGCAAAGGGAGCGTCGTTAGTGATGGACCTAGATTTCCTTCGTTTGGGAAGAAAGCATCGATGTGAAGACAAAAACAGGTCAATTCACCTTCAATTCAAAGAGTTCAACCACTTTCAAATACTTCTTAGTACTATGCGAACGATATTTCCATATACATTTTGAAGAGAGTATATTTACTGTGCTATCTGAATGAAAATGAATTGACCACACATTTTATTTCAAGGAGGAAAGCACATATGTACAGCGTGTAATGGGTTCAAAGGTCTTGTGTAAGCAGCATACCCACTGCACAAAAAAATACATAAATAAGCCAGAAAGTCTGCCATCCAGTTTCTCTTATTATTGGGAGTGTACACGGATTATAAAGGTGGTACATTTAGATGGACTGGCTCATTTAGATGCAACACCAATAGAGAGCCGTCAGTCAGTGAACAGTGACGTCCTTCAGTTGTTTACCACCATCTTTGCTTTGAGGCGGTTGATTTTGAGAGGAAGCAGGCCGACCATCTCTCTGCTCAGCTCCAGCTCCGTCTCCACAGTGGCTGTTGCCTCCGGGTGGGCATCACAGTACTGCACCACGTATCTAGACAAGTGATGGTCAACACATTCCTCAGATGAACAACATGGCAACTAGGAGCACGTGAACTGTAAAGCACACCTCAAGGTTCACTCATTTCAACATCTTTGAATGAAATCCTTTCCATTTCAAATGCATCCGTCTTTAATTTGTCCTTATGCTTCCACATTGAAGCTGGAGTGCAGGACTTTTACATATAAACGGATGAGTTTTTTCTGTATTTCTCACAGTGTATTGGAGTTGTGGTGTCTGGAGTCTGTGGCGACTTCCCCCGCTGGCGCATGTATGCCTGCAGGTGAGCTCACCACAAGTCTTCCCTTGCTAATTTCTTACTTTAAATCCAAAAATTCCACACTCCAACTTTAACGCCAACTTCTTACTGTCATTGCGTAGAGTACATATGTTGAGAGCACATTGTTCAATACGCAAAGTGTTCGGATATATCATCAAGAGTTAACAAATATATATCTTCTTACTTGTAGTGTTCCAGAGATTTGTCGAGGTTTTCCAGCTGAGCAGAGGGCGAAGAGCTGATCAGGCGGCTGTGGAGTCGGGCCACTCTGAAGCGGGCCACCAGAGCCGGTCTGAGCACCTCCTCCTCCAGGTGCTCTGGTTGCTTCCCCTCTGGAGAACACAGAGAGTCGAGGAACATCTGGAAGTATCTGGAGAGGAGAACAGAGGACTTCAAATATTGATTGAATAAATGTAGATGCACAGAAACATCTGGGTCGTCCACACACACACACACTCACTTGGCAGAGGCAGAGCAGAGATGGTTGAATTTCTTAATGGTGTGGCTATCTAGAGACTCGCTATCAGCTTGTCTGTTGGCCAGCGTCAGTTTCAGGTCCATCATTTCATTGTAGATCTCAGCCAACTCAAACATCATCTGTCTGCGGATCATTAGGTAGTACTGGGAGTTTAAGTCTGTAGGGAGAATCAGAGAAAGTCAGTTTTCTTTTATCTTTTTTGACTGAAATTAAAAAAAAAAATGAAACTTAAAAACAAAAGTTTGCACAGTACCATTGCAGACTGGCTCTAGCATGTCAACTCTGCGTTTGTGCATTTTGCAGCGTCGCTCCAGATCCTCTTCAAAGAAAGCGAGGGCCCGGAACAGAGCGCTGTGATCCTGCAAGATCTCTATGTGGTCCGTCACGTAGCCGTCCATCTGGAAATAGTCCTTGGCCTGCAAGAACGAGTGTAAGGACGGAGACAGTTTAACATGTTTAGCAGTTAAAAACCAAACAGTGGGTTCAACCCTTGGGGCATTTTTTTTATAAATGTAAACCTTTCTGGATGAGGATAAAGGATAAAGGACTTCACATCCAATCAGATATTTATATATTTTTTTACATACAGAAATCCTGGTTTTGTGCTCCTTACAATACAGTACAAAATTCATATGAGGTGTAACTCTGCCATTGTTACCAGCTTAACATTATACACCAGAACAGTTGAGGACTTTAGGAACAATGAAGTGGCACCAGTGTAGTTGAGAACATCTGCAGCTATCTGCTTGGTGCTTTCACTGATGTGTCAAGTCAAGCAAATTCAAGTTTGTTTAAACAGCCCAACATCACATACAACATATCAATGGGCTTCACAGCCCGCAGACGTGAGGTGAACACAAACAGCAAAGCATAAAAGCATCTGGTCTTTTTTTTTACCAGTTATCTGCCGGTGTGGTGGTGACTTCAATAATTCAGCTACTTGGGAATTTGTCTAACACAGTTCTAGTGTGTGTGTGTGTGTGTGTGTGTGTGTGTGTGTGTGTGTGTGTGTG